TACTTAGGCCTCTTTAAGGCACAGATGGCCCATGGCAGTCTGGATCATGTCACACTGAGCTGGGAAGAACCCGGGGCGAGGCGTCTCCTCCCTGGACTGTCACCAGTCATTGATGTCAGGTGACGCTGCGGGGAAGAGACTGCTCATTAGGTTTGCCTCAATTTCCTTCAACCTTCCTGGATGGAGAAAACAACATTCAATTTGTGTCACTTATTAAGCCCCTTATTTCCAGTGACATTTAGCAGTGGGCTGTAGGTACTGCATTGGCTTCAATAATGAAAATTGCAAGAAGATACTATAGCTGGTACTATAGCAAAAGGCCTGCCTGCATATGGGTGTTGTATATATAACATGTTAGTTTGAGCATGGGTATTTATTTTGAGACAGCTAAGTATAACCATATGGTTGCTGTCTATAGAGGAATATAGAATAACCGCTAGTATCTGTTGGATTATCTAACTAGAGTTAATATGACCAATTCAGTAGGTAAATTTGGGGGATTCATGTGTTTGTGACTTGAATAAGCATACTCTCTCTCTCTCCCCCTCTCTCTCTATCTCTGCAAACACTAAAACAAACACTAATCCAATTAATCAAAAAAAAATTATTGTCCGATTTATCGATTAGGAGCATAATCGTTAGTTGCAGCCCTATTTCTAAGTGTGATTTTTTCCCTCTCTTCAGTGAAAGCCAGATTAGCTACAGTGATGAACCTCTTTTTAATGACAAAAATAAGGGTGCAGAGAGCATGGTAACATGATATAGCAAAGAGCATACAGGTCATGGAGAGGAGACAGAAATGGCCTTGTGGGGCTTTAGTCAGCCATCACTGAACATATTAATTGTTTGAATTTTAATAATAGTAATGCAGCTCACAGATGGTAGCAGTGCTCAAGTCGAGTCATGCTGTTACAGAACAACTTTGGGGTCTTTGTGGTAATCATATTTATCACAAGGGTGTGAAACCATTAGACAAATACTTTCATTTCCCCCATCATGGATGAAAGCAATAATAAAGTATTGAAACAGTAATATATTTAAACAAATACTGTCTGTGCCAGCTGGCCATGATATTGAATATAAGGGTGAAATTAATTTTTTACTACCTATCAGAAACTTGCATTAATAGTAATAAACAATTAGTGTTGAGCCTTAAAGCATTACAAAAAACTATTCTAATCACAAACAAAAAAACTATTACATACACACACACACACACATATAAACACAGTAACTGAAAAACAGACAGGCAGCAACACTCTTGATTGCTAATGTCATAAATGTTTCAAGTCTGCAAACACAGCTTTTCTGTTTCAAAAACACACTGCAAATAAAAAAGTTGTGCTTCCAGTCATTCAAACCACAAAAATCTTACTGGTTTTTTATTTATCCTTTTGAGCTATTTGTCCTTTGATTGGACAATGTTTGCTTAGGGTATTTATTTGGAAAGACTATTAGTCTCTCAAAGGGCATTTTGAAGTCTAGTCCTTGCAGACAATTATTTGGATCAATACCAAAATCTAGTCATCTGCTGGTTGCAAAGATAATTCCTAATAATAATAATAATAATAATAATAATAATACATCCTGCAAATGTTCAACCACTTATTCTTGAGATATCGCCCAAAGAAACATCAGAAATCTCGGCTGGATGGACGGACAACCCAAAAATACTTTTTAAAAGCAGCAAATCGAAAAGGTATTTCACATTGTTACTGTTCATTACACCCACTCTCTCTCTCTCTCTCTCTCTCTCTCTCTCTCTCTCTATATATATATATATATATATATATATATATATATATATATATATATATATGTTAGAGATGCACCAATGTATTGGCCAATAATCTGTATCGGCCGATAAAGGCAATTTTTCATGCTATTGGCCATTGGGTGACAATGACAACAAGACTGCATTTTGTAATCTCTGAACTGCTAAACCGCACACTACAGCAAAGCATATTTTTTACAGTGCGCATGTTAATGAATGAGTGCTTGTACACCGGACGCTGCAGCAGTGAAGCAGGAGTGTTGGCGTCAAGTCAAGTCAAGTAATTTCTTTTTCTGCTCTCGCTGAATGAAAGCGGCAGTGTACCATTGAAAGATTAAAATGAAGATTAGTTGACAAAAAAATGGTATTTATTGCACGGAAAAATATATTTGTAGAGTAGTATATTTCATATCCAGTTAATGTTAATATGAGTTAATGTCATCAAAAAAAGTTTATATTATATAGTACCAGTTCTCTGATGAAGTAGAAATGCTTTTGTTTGTGGTGAGTGAATGTGAGACTAATATTTTTTTTTAGAATTCAGTCAATGTTACTTATTATGAATTAATAACATTAAATAAGTTAAGAAATCTTACTTTAATCTTTAGAATTTAGTAATGTGTTTTCAGTTTATGAGACCAGTTACTGTGAAACAAAATGGAGAGAATAAAGTTTTTATTTGCATTTCCTTCATGATTGTGGAATTAATTATTATTAATTTAAAACAAAGTATAAAAGGCAGAATCACCAAACTATCAGTACCAGTATTGGCATTGGCTGATATCATGCTGAATATTCAGCTATCGGTATTGGCTGAGAACAGTGCTTGTGTAACAGTGTCGATTTGCTGTCCCCTTAAAATTACTCAACACACAGCCATTAATGTCTAAACTGCTGGCAACAAAAGTGAGTACACCCCTAAGTGAAAATGTCCAAATTGGGCCCGAATTGTTAATATTTTGTGTGGCCACCATTATTTTCCAGGTTGCCACTTCCACTTCTCCATGATGACATCAGGGAGCTGGTGGATGTTAGAGACCTTGTGCTTCTCCACCTTCCATCTGAGGATGCCCCACAGATGCGCAATAGGTTTAGGTCTGGAGACGTGCTTGGCCAGTCTATCACCTTCACCCTCAGCTTCTTTAGCAAGGCAGTGGTCATCTTGGAGGTTTGGGGTCGTTATCATGCTGGAATACTGCATACTGATCATGCTCTGCTTCAGTATGTCACAGTACATGTTGACATTCATGGTTCACTCAATGAATAGACTTATGAGTGCTGCCTGTGCTGCCGTGTGTGTATATATATATATATATATATATATATATATATATATATATATATATATATATATATATATATATATATATATATATATATATATATAAAATGAAAATAAATATATGAAAATATATATATAGTGTCACGTATCTGGAAAATCTGGACTCCATTTCCCATCAGCCACTGCACTGCACCACATGACCACATGCAACACAACTGCACCTGATTCATGCTTTTGTTAATGAGCAAAAACGTGAATCTGTATATATAATCTGTATATATAGTCTTTGTCTGCACTCTCTCCTTGTCTTTCGTTGTTGTAGACTCCTGTCATTTATGTCTCAGTGTTCTGTATCTTGCCACACTGTTATGCCACGTTGTCTTAGCATCTTTGTTTCGTAGTTTGTTTGTTTACAATAAATGTTTAAAATCTGTGACTGCTTCTGCATCAACCTCAAAACGTGACAGAACGAAAGACCATGATATAGAAGTAGAAGGTTTTATTTTTTTTTTTTCCCGATGGACGCCTGGTGCAACGACTACGCAGAGTGGTATCTCAAGTTAAAGGAGCAGGGGAGAAGGTCGAGGAATACCATCGCAGTACAGTGCATGCACCATACCACACCTGGCGTTCGTAGTAGAATATGCCAAGTTACACTGGTTGGAGTATATGCTTGAAGATGAGACAGAATCCCGCCCTCCCTCCCCTCTTCTGGATATCACTCTGCCGTCCCGTTCAGCTGAGGTCGTCACGCAGTCTTCCTGTTCGGCTGTGGACGCCGCTCAGCATCCCTGCTCGGCTGTGGACGTCGCTCTGCCTTCCGGCTCGGCACTGGACGTCGCTCTGCCTTCCTGTTAGGCTGTGGACGTCGCTCTGCCTTCCTGCTCGGCTGTGGACGTCGCTCGGTCTTTTTTCCTTCGCTGCGCTCAGTGTGTCGCTCCCCCTTCCTGCTCCACGGAGGACACCGTTCCCCCCTCATGCTCCTCGGAGAGCGTCCTTCCTCCCTTGGGCCTCTCGGAGAACCTCGCTCCTCTCCCTGGCCTTGCGGACAACCTCGCTACCCCCGTGTGCCTCGCGGAGAACCTCACTACCCCCGTGTGCCTCGCGGAGACCCTCGCTCCCCCCGTGAGCCTCGCGGAGACCCTCGCTCCCCCCGTGAGCCTCGCGGAGACCCTTGCTCCCCCCTGGAGCCTCGTGGAGACCCTCGCTCCCCCTTTGAACCTCGTGGGGGACCTCGCGTTCCTCTTCTGTCCCAGGAAGGAGATCGCTGATCGCATGCCCCGCTGAGGACGTACTTTTGCCTCCCTGTGCCGTTGTGGGAGCCGCTCGGTCTACTGGCTTTGTTGAGAACCTTTTGCCCGGGGGCCCGGGGGCCCGGGGCCGCCGGTGGGGGGCCGTGTCGGTTTGGGCGCTCCGGGAGTAGCGCCCTTGGGGGAGGGTTCTGTCACGTATCTGGGAAATCTGGACTCCATTTTCCATCAGCCACTGCACTGCACCACATGACCACATGCACCACAACTGCACCTGATTCACGTTTTTGTTAATGAGCACTCATGTGTATATATAGTCTTTGTCTGCACTCTCTCCTTTTCTTTCGTTGTTGTAGACTCCTGTCATTTATGTCTCAGTGTTCTGTATCTTGCCACAGTGTTATGCCACGTTGTCTTAGCGTCTTTGTTTCGTAGTTTGTTTGTTTACAATAAATGTTTAAAATCTGCGACTGCTGACTACTGAAGTCAAGACTATATATATATATATATGTGAAAAATCAAGATAATCCAATTTTTAAGGCATTTGTTACTAGCAAATAAGACGATCCGAATGAGAAAACTTGAGCCTTACTTTATATATTTTGTATAACCCATTAAGGAGTGGGATTGAAATAATTGAATAAACAGGATACACAAAATAAAGATTTGAGGGAAACTGTAGAATTCAGTGCTAGGGGCTATAGCTCAGTGGTAAAGTATTTGACCGTAGCTCAAGCGGTCCCTGGGTCATATCTAGATGCCCTTTCTACAATGATAAATTTAGAGCAGTGGTGGCTCAATGCCCTTTCTACAATGATAAATTTAGAGTAGAGCAGTGGCTCAATGGTTACTGATCAGAAGGCTTTCACGTACCATTGAGAATACGGAAGCAGATGCAGGCGACAGATTCAGGCAGTATAATCCAGAGGAATAGTCAAAGTTCGTAGTCGAGAAACAGGCAAGGGTCAGGCGATCATACAAACAAAACAAAACAGGGCAAGGCAGAAATTGAGGTCAGGGATGTAAACGATGGTCAAAGTCACTTTGCAATAAACATGGTAGATAAGACTTAGATAATGACAGAAACAAGTCAGCTGAACATTTACTTCGCAAAGTCTGTATGTATCCAAAGTCTCCTATATGCTGTGGTGAGAGGGCTATAATGATTGGCTGCAGGTGTGTGTGATCAGAACACCAGGGAAGGTGAGCGCATGCGTGTGTGCGAAGTGTAGTCCTCAGCGGCCATGTTTGAAGTAAGTGTTGCTTCTCAGGAAACCAAGTGGTGGCTGGGCTGAGATATGACAAAGGCCAGGGGTCCATGCAAGGCCCTTAACCCTATTAGCTCTTCTTCTTACTATTGTGTTCCTGCATGATGAAGTACTGTACATAGATTAGTGTACTTTATACCATGGTTTGTCTGAATACTCGGTTCTGATTGGTGTGCGTTCAAACCAAGGAATACACAGGTAGTTCCCATCAGTTTAATCACCGTTCTGAGTTAATACACTACCTAGGGTTAGAGTTAGCCATAGAAATATACAGTTACAGTTGCATACAGTAATAACTCACAGCTTCAATATTACTAGAGGCATGGCACAGATGCAGGTTATTCATGATAATCTGGTAATATACACCTAGTCGTGAATTATATTATTATATTATGAGGTAATAAACATGCATGTGTTTCTTCGGCTTTTCAGAAAGATGGTAATGTTATGCATAAGTAGTACTGTTGGAGCTCAGGAATATGTATCTGTTTCACATAACAAATTACCTGCATTAATATGTGACCTTGCTTGCTAAAAATATTAAGCAAAAATAGTGAGTTTATATATGTTTACATATAGTATATTTGTGAGAGAGAGTGCCTGTGCAAAACCTCAGCTAAGCATCTGATTTTGAGCCACGTTCCTGTAATTTAATTTACTAGGGTAGGTTATGAATTATTCAGTTTTGTACATTGTGACATTACATGAATGCTCAGAGCCACAGGCGGCAGCTGCAGTCAATCGGGACATTCCAAACCCCTCCAACCCATCAGCTCATTGACCCTTCCTACGTTTTGACTCTTAGCCACTGTGGCAGGTATTTTAATAATTCCCAGGGTGAGTTTGTTACAGTGATACTTTCCTACTAATGGTAGGGACTTCACTAATGCTAGTGTACCATTTATTAACGAAACACTCCATTGTTTTTTCAGCCTGTGTGTAATGTATGTGCACTTTCCACAGATAATTGAGATGTTAACCTGTACTAAGAAATGTACAGAGTGGTTTCCATAAAGTTTTATCCAGTTTTCAAACACAGAAGCAACACATTAACATGTAATTCTGGTTACTTAGAATTACATAGATATAGAGATAGTCAAAATAGAGATGTAAAAATTCTTGTCTTTGTTAATCACACATACACTACAGATAGATATTAGGTTGAAAAAAATGGTATAATGATTTATCTACATTCTCACTTTGTTCACTGAATAGCCATCCAATCTCTTTTTAACATTTCCTCAAGATCTCTGTGTTTTTGGCCAATTGGACTAATTGGAAAAAACTGGATTGAGAAACAAACTGATTTTGTCTCAGCTAAGCTTCCTTTGCTGCTTTGTCTTTGCAACCTGACTTCCTCAGAAGTTTCCAGTGCACAGGGAATTTATTCAGAGTGTTGAGATTCAGAGTGTTTTGGCAGCTTGATATAGTTTAATCCACACCTAGTATATGCCAAGGCACTTGGGTCAAGACTGTACTGATGAGAAGGTCGTATAATCTTATGATCAATATATTCCATCAAATTATGTTTTAAGATGCACTATGCACTTGGTAATGTGCTCTCCAGATAGACAGATGGGCTCCTTCTCAGCATTATTTATGAAGTGCTTTAGCATTATTGTCCAGTGAATTGACCTGGGTGACCTGTTTAATTCTGAACCCCAGTCCAATTCCAACCCTTTTCCCTTTTTACTCTCTCATACCTGGGATTTATTCTGATGACTAAGCTTTTTTGGTATGAGATTAAAAAAAATGCATTACAATTATAGGTATCAATTCCAAGGTGTAAAAGAGAGAGAGAGAGAGCGGTCAGACAGAGGTCTGGTTTAAGTGGCTAGTAAGACAATACCTGCTGAAGGTGAGGTGGTGTGGCAGGAAAACTGGCATTCTGTCAAGTTACAAATGACTGCTATTAACCACATTGCTGTTAAATCTGTCCAAGTTGCTTCAGCATAACTGTTTGCATTCATCAGTAACTGCAAAATGGCAGACTGATCTAATTATTCATTCAGCTATGCTCTTGAGGGATGCAAGCACTGTTCTTTCTGTCACTCCTTCCTCCTGTTCATAGTGTAGCATGAAACGTGCTTGTATTTGAGAGAATTGCATAGCACAGAACTTTGGCTGTTGTCAGTGTATATTTCTGAAAGTTATATATTTTGCTTTAAATTCACAATATAAAGGAAGGATTACCAAAATAAAAGCAACACACGATTTCAGTACTTTGGGAACATTTCTGTCATGTGGTCATGATTATGTGTGTGTGTGTGTGTGTGTGTGTGACAGAGAGACTTGATGGGGAATATACCATATTGAACAGCCAGTATGCCTAGAAATGTTGTGTTACAGCACAAGTGAACCACCCCATCCCCGTCTCTCTTCTCTCGGGTAAACAGACATAGGCATGTCTGTGCTCTTCAACCAGGACAAAAGGTGACACCTAAGAGCACTTATGCACACTCAAAACACATGCAGGCACAGAGTTCTCATCTGCAGTACTACTGTTTCCTAGCAGGCAGGAGTCAGGTATTGTCTCTGGCTGTCTAAGCCAGGCTTAACTCAAAGAGAGTGAAAGAGAGACAGCCAGGTGGAGAGAAATAGATACATATATCAAACCCATGCCCATTTCTGAGTAGAGTTAATGGTAAACCGCATCCAGTTAAATCTATCTGCCCAGTCTTAATGAACATGACTAGACCCTGAGTTTATTTCTCAGGTATCTCCAAGTTTTTTCTTGGAGTGTTGTTCTTATCTAACCTCTCATCTACATGTGTAAAACCACTTTAATTGGGATTATTCTTTAATTCCTCTGGGGCTGAGCCAAGGTTATAAAAATTGGATTACAACAGTTAAATAAATGGGTCATCACTGGAATGCTAATTAGATGTCAAACCTTGAATATTGAGGCATTGAAGCTGCATACTTTTAAAACAGTTATCATGCCAAATCGTGGCATGTTCATCCACAACAAATAAACATACAGTAATCAACATAAATCAGTTTTATTACATCTTCAATCAATAAGATCCTTTGATCCTTTGACTCAACTGCTGCTGTCGAAGTAGCAGAGTCAAAAGCTACAACTGCAAACAACCTATGTCTACCCCTATGTCTTATTGACTCTGCTTATTTGTTGGATCTCTCTCTCTCTCCTCTCTTAAAGGCACCTGCTCTACTCCTCCCTTATCAATGGTATTAACACAGGGAGACAAGCATGATTTAAAAAAGATGTTTTGTGCAAGGAGTGCAACATCTCACATTTTTGCAGAATGAAGAGGTTACTAAAAATAACAGGAGTATAGAAAAGTCTCAGATAATAATTTTTAAAAGTCTGCAATAGATGCTGTATAGTGGTAGAAGAGCTGGATCTAGGGTATTTGCATTTGTGGACTCTAATTGTTAACAGTTGCCTGGTCAGCCCTTCAGGGGTTTTATTTTTAGAAGGATCAAGTGTACTATTCACATGGTCTTCAGTCGGTACTTTTGGGGCTGAGCACAAAGTGAAATGGCTGTTTTGTGTTCCTGGAACAGTTACAATCCTCTCTAATATCATTTACGATGGTCTAGTTTTGATCAGATAGTGTGATACAGTACTTGCTGAAGGTGTTTAGTCACATAGGGAAAAAAACTAATAATATAAAGTCACAGTCTCTGGGCTGTTTGTCTTATATGCTTTGCTCACTATTTTCTTTAGATGAATTGTCTCAAGTGACAAATTTTACTTGAAGGAACCTTGAAGGTTTTGTTCCGGGAGGCTGCAGTACATTTAGAGGAGGGCTTAATGCAGAGTATGAGAAGGAGCTCAGTACAACTTAGCAACCTTAGCCAATTGTGAGGCAATATCCCATTGGTTTAGCGCATTACATGGAAAAATGCCTCCATCTTGATTTTCATAAAAATGTTCTATCTAGCAGCCTAAAGATACTTGGTAAATTAGAACCAGGAAATACAAACAGCTTTTATTAAATAATAAAGATATTTATGAATTTCAAAACTGAGTGTTTAATTTTTACTTGATGGCTTCCTGAAGCATTCAAATTTTACTTTCAAATTTGACTTAACGTAAAATTTCAAGGTAACTTGCTTCACAGCTTTTTTACGTTTACTCAACTTAACTTCACTTAACTCAGTTTTTAACCTTGAGTTGAGTAAACTCAAAAAAGTTGAGCAGCAAGTTGCCTTGAAATTTTAAGTTTTCTTTCTTTTTTTTTTTTTTTTTTTTTTGTGTTTGGAGACATCAGATGGAAACAGAGAAAATCTTCAGAAAATGTTCACATATTTATCAGATGTTAAAATTGGCAGTTAAATAGCCACAGATGGGTGACAGATTAAAGGATGAACTGGTGGCTCTGTTATATTTTGGTATTTTGCTGGCAAGGTTTGAGCCCATTAGAGGAAAGATTCTTTACTCTAATGGGTCCATTAGAGAAAAGAGTCAAAACACACAACTTTTTTTTTTTTTTTTTTTTTTTTGGAAGAATGGTGTTTATCCCTCCAC